GTGAATGACTGTAGGGTATGGATATAAGTACACTAAAAAAAAAGGTATCATACGAAACTTTCCGAGACTTTCGATTTTTGAAACAAAACGAAACTCCTGTACGACTTCGTATCAACAAGGTTCCGTACAGACCCACTTTTTTATTTTTACAAAAAATGGTTCTGCAGTTCGATTTTCTTACTAGATTCAATAACCTACTGATAGGTTTATTCATCACTCTCTAAATATCTATCCTCATATAGCTATAATTCTCTTCGACCATCTGGTACTCCGGCACTATCCAACGTATCTATTTCTAACTATTGAGCCATGTAACTAACTTCTATAACAATCTCTCTCTATTATTCCACACCTGTTTGACACGCCTCATGAACATCCTCGATGTGTTTCATCTATCACTAACCGGCTAAATCTAGTCATAGGATCTATTTCTAAATCTATATATCCTTAAATCGATCCTTAATGTCCTATTTCTAAACCTATCATTAAACCCCATTTTGTAAATGTATTCTTAATATTCTATTCTAAATTTATGTTCTTGAATCTATCCATGACATCCTATTCATAAATCTATCCTTAACCCTTTATTCTTAAACCTTTCCCCTCTATATCTATACCTCTAAATATATCCCCCCTCCCCCTTAATGTATCCCTTTAAACCTGTCTCCCCTAATCTATACTCTTATATCTAACTCTGAATCTATCCAGTCAAATCTATTCCACCTTAAACTTGTCCCTTTTAAAATATTCCCTTTACTCCGTTCGCCTTAAACCTGTCTCCATTAATCCATCTCCTAAATATTTCCTTTTTATCTATCCTCTCAAGCCTATCGTTCCTTAATCTGTCTTCTTAAATATATCCCCCTTAGTATATCGCCCGTAAATCTAACCCTCTCCTCCAGATTTATCCACTTGAATATATCCCTTAACACCGTATTCTTAAATCTGTTCTCCTAAAGATCTCGCCTCTTTATCTGACGAATTTAATTCGTGTCTTAGCACTGTCTTACTAAATGTAAACCTCACAACCTACTATCAACATCCTCTTTTTTTTTTCTTAAGTTACAATTGCTAAATCTAAAACGCTAAATGCATCCTCAGACATAATACTTGAATCTAAATTGTTAAATAAATAGTTCGATGGATTTTAAAAAGTGTATTATCTATGGTTTCTATGCTTAGCAGTTTATATCAATATGATACCTCTGACAACTGTACATTATCTCTTTTGTTTGTTACTATGCTCTTTCATATAATCGGTTCCATCTCTTCGTATAACGCCGCTTGAAAATACAACAATTAAGTTTTTAATTGCATAGTTTAAAATTTGAAATGGGCTGGTTGATATGGGAGATAATTTTTGTCTGAATGTAAATGAGAAAACGAAGAAATGAAAAACCGTTTGTCGAAGGTGTGATTGCTGAACATTTGCTCTTGTTATCGTCGTGGACAGAATGAAGAAATTGGTTTTCGTGCGAAATATCTTGGCCACTCTACGGTTAGTATTGATGTTTCACGTAACACTATCAATGGAAGAAACTCTTTTAAGTTTCTCACGAAACCTCATGACCACTTTATGTTTTGAAAATATGATAGACGAAACTTTTTGAACAGTAAAAACACTTTGAAGGTTTCCATGAAACTTAATTCTCTCGGAAACTTCTTGAAGGTTCTGTAAAGTCGCACGATACCAAAAAAGGTTTCGTGAAAGTGTACGAAACCTCGAAGATTTGATAGTGCACCTTTCTTTTCAGTATATGGATGGCACTTCAACTTTTTTAAAATTCAAATTTTACGTCTCCTTATTTTAACTTTACTTCAAAGTTAAAGCATGCTACTTTAACTTTAACTACTTTTTCAGTGTTTTTAAAGCTAAAGTACCATCCCTGGGTATGAATAACGATGTTGCTACATTTGTGAATATGAACTCTACCTACATCCACATCCGTATTATAAATAAAAATGGTTATATCTACTCTCCTCATGAATGACTCAAATTAATGGAACGAAAGGCTGCATCGCACATATTTATAAAACAACATTTTTATTTAGAATGAAAGAGAAGTTTGTGGATAGAGAATGGAGTGACAAAATGAAGCCAAGGAAATAGTGAGAGAGCATTACAAAAATAATATGAATGCATTGCTTCTTTCGTTCTTGATATATGATGTTGTTTATTTTTTTTGCAATACCTCCTTGAAATTTTTTCAGCAGTAATGAAATCTGGACAGCTTTGATTCTATAAAGTAATTTTTATTATGTTGTATTTTTCAGCTACATACATGAATTTGTCGGTGTGAATTCGAATCTTATCTCATTTACACCCGCATCAACATCCACCATTGACTTCGTTGTATTTCACTAGATGATTGTCGAATAGACACTTCAAGAATAAATACAGGCAAACCCGTAGGAACTAGAGACCTGAAAAATGGTCACGGTCACGGTCACGGTCACGAGTCACGGTCACGCGTGACCGTGACCGTGACCAGTTTGGGAAAATCTTCGTGACCGTGACCGTGACCGTGACCAGTTTAGGAAAATCTTCGTGACCGTGACCGTGACCGAGTAACTTTGGTCGTGGTCACGCAGATTTCTAAAACTTATTCCCTTTACAATTGAATTATGAAATTAGAAGAAATATCTGTGTGTTGATTATGTTTATATTAAATATTAAATCTGGATTAAAGTCAACAACATAAACAATTCGAGAAAAACAATAAGAATAATTAATAGAAATTACGGCACTACTTCTAAATTTTTTTCCGCTTTCATTATTATCACTTAAGATCCCTTCCCCAGTCCGAAACCGATCCCCGCCTAGGTATACTGAAATGGGATGAAATTTGGAGTATATGTTGAGGCTGAAGTGAGGAGGCTTTGGTTAAATTTTCAGCGCGATATCCTGACGTTGATGAACTAATCAAGGGTCAAAAGTAGCTCATTTTGCGACAAAGATTTCTCGGTCCAGGCTCTGTCAATATATTTAATTTTTTTTATTCGAAAGAGCATAGCAGGATACAGGCCCCACAGAGTCCTGTTTTAAATTCTTATTTTTTTAGCGGAAGAAGGGAATTACGAGTTCAATGACTGAAAAAACGCGCCAAAAATGAGTATGTATGTCTGTATACATAATAAAAAATCGAGCTTAATTTAAAAGGGCTCTATGGTACCATGCATCTCGACGTGCTCTTTCAAACAAAAAAATTTAAATATATTGCCAGATTCTGGACCGAGAATTTCTTGTCAGAAGATCGAAAAATCATAAACTGAGAAAAAACTAAAAAGATGTCTTGTTTTTTTGAAAAAAGCTAACTTTTCGAATAGGGTCGACAGAAATCTCGAAAAGTTTTTGGAAATAAAGAGGTGATAGTACAAATTCTTATTGTTTATGAAAGATCTGAAGACAGACTATCTTTCCATCCATTTATCTCAATTTCGACATTTTTGATGAAAGTTGACTGTTTTAGAGTAGGGGAGGCTTAACTATTGATATTCACCTTCTTCAGTAGCTTTAACTTTTTTTCAGAATGTCATTATAATCATTGTAAGATTCTTCAAAAGCATCATTATTTTTTTCTTTTGGCATAATTGTTGTCATTAGAGATCTACACATTCGTCACGGCCATAGACGGAAGAGACCCCCACAGCTAGCTGATTCGAATTTTAGACCGGCTAGTATACCGATAATTGTCGGTCTACGAGTATTTTTCCGGACTGCCGATTTTTTACCAGTAGAACAGCATTTTACGGGTATACCAGTCGCCCCGGCTTACTCTGGTGTGTTCAAAAGGGTACCGGTACCGGTCGTCAAAAACCTAGATTGGTTTCATCTATGGTCTCAGTCACGCGTGACCGTGACCGTGACTAGCTTTGGAAAATCTTCGTGACCGTGACCGTGACCGTGACTAATTTCATGAAATTTCCGTGACCGTGACCGTGACTAAGTAGTTCGTGACTATGTCGTGACCGTGACTAAAAAATCGTGGTCACGCAGGTCTCTAGTAAATACGTATAATCATTTTCCATCATTATCCAACTTATAGTAAGACAAAACGACGAAAACTAAAACTTATTGTGTTTGGATAAATTCGAATCTAATGGAAGAAAATATTTCATTAATAACACTCGCCGATATTTCGTACTATTGTTCGAGCTTTCCTGTAAGAATATATTTTTATAAATATTATTATTAAATAAAAATAAAATAGGATGACGATTTGCGGCCAATGTCTCAATCATTGTGCACTCGATCGCTAGTGCAATGATTATTTTCTCCAATACCAACTTGTTGAAAAGATTCTCGTTCACCGATATTACCAACATTACCATTACCACCTATTAGTTGGTTGATCACTTACATCTTCATTTACTAATAGTGATCTTCATTCACCATTATGCTTATCAAATATAACTTCTTCATTGCAACATCAGTCATGTGTATATAATTCTTTTTTTTTCTATCGATTTTTTTTCTTTTTATTATAAGAAATATATTTTAGAATTATTATTGTTGTATAAATAAAACAGAAAATTAGTCTGAAAATTACAAAATCGAATACATCTTCATTTAAATAAAGATAACAAACAAACGATGATTCCAACTTACGATCATCACTTGCTCGAACTGTAAATATTTCAAATAAAGAAAGTTTTGTTGTTATTAAATTTCTTTTTTTTTTGTTTTTAGAGTACTCTATCATTATTATCATTAATTAAACGTACTTGATCATGATAATGGCACATTACGTTTACAAGTCTCACATATTCCATTTACATGGTCAAAAGAAAAATTAGCTGAAGTTTTCCGAGTTTATATTTATTTTGTACTTTAAATTTTATTGTTTATTCATTAATAGAAAACTAGTTATTTATGACAAGGTAATATTTAATTAATAATAAAATTGATTTTCTTTTATTTTATATAGATCTTGTTGGACTTGATGATTATATGTATAAGCCAAGGTGAATGTATAGTTTTTGTTCAAATGAATGTAGATATGGTAACAGTATATTACGTTGTTGAACAAATGCAACTGATAATCAATTTAACTGGCTTTCTTCATAAAGATACAACATCATTAATATATACTGCACCAGATAGAGATCATAGTGTATTAAGTTATTTAAATAAATTTATGTTTAAAATAATTTCTATTTTACCTATGAATGATGGTTATTATACATATATTTATGTTGAAACATCTTTACCAGTTCAATCTGAGTGGAAAACTCGATTAGAGTCAGAAATTTATTATGATAATTGCTCAAGATATTTTTTATTTTGATATAATATGTAAGTTGATTTTTAACATATTATTTCAATCATTTAATTTTTTTTCAGTTAGGATTGAAATCAATATCGATTATTTAAGTATTTATTTACATGCATCAACATCAACTAATTCTATTGACAGAATCATTAGTTTGAATATTAGCTGGACAACAACACAAAGCATGGCATATGCATTTGCACCTATTTGATCAAATAGACGTTATCAAATAATAATCGAAGATATTCATGGAAAACCCTATGACGATGATATTACTATTGATAATATTGGAATTTTATCAATTGATTCATATGCATTATAACCAGTTGATGTTGATCCAATTCGAGTATCTCAACAAGCAATTAATTGTGGATTTGAAGAAATTTTTTGTCAATGGCAATTTGATTCAACTGATAATTTTAATTGAACAACATATTCAGAAAGTACATCATCAACTGATACAGAACTAAGTACAAGTAAGAAAATAAGAAACTTGAAATTGAAATTTTATTTTTTGTTTTTTGTGATTGATTAGGTACGGATAATCGATCGTATTACATTTATTTTAAAGTAAGCTATCCACAAAATGAAGTTGATCATGCTGGTCTTATTTGGCCAGTAATAACAAAAGCAAGAGAAACAATGTATTTTCAATTCTCTTATCATATGTAAATTTGAGCAAAAAAAACCATTGAGGGCTGCGCAAATACAAATACAATTTGTATTCTGGAAAATTATATACCTGAACAACTCAGAATAAGTGGATATGTACTGTCATGTACAATCATGTATTACCATGTACTGCTATGTACTACCCTGTACATCAGATACTCTGATAATATATCCAAAAGAAGTTAGAATAAGTGGATCTGTATTATCGTGTACTATCATGTACTTTGACAATGTATCCAAAAAAAGCTAGAATAGGTGGATATGTATTGTAATGTACTATGATGTACTCTTATAATATATCCAGAAAAGCTAGAATAGGTGGATATGTATTATCATGTGCATCGTGTACTCTGATAGTTTATCCCAAAAAAGCTAGAATAGGTGGGTATGTACTATCATATATTATCATGTACTCTGATAAACTATTTGAATTAAGCCAGATAAGGTAGATATGTATTAGAACTACAATCATTTAAGATTTTTGTAACTCTACAATAGCCGTGAATGGTTGGATTGTGTTGACACAAATGAATTATGAATGTTTACTTCGTGTGTAGATCATCGGTAATATCGTGTAATATAACAAGAAAGAATTTACTTGTATACAGAATATTAGCAGGTTATATCTGGTCATTCTGATGAAAATGCATCTTTTTTCTTTGTTGTATAGGTTGTTCATTTATTGTGTAATTAACAATATCTTTTATTTTCGATGAGAAAAAGACGAAAGACATGAAGAGGTATGTATGAAAAAAAATCACAGAAATAAGTAATGAGTTCTATGAAAGAAACTATGTGCAAGTTCTGTGTATTTTGATATCATTGACAAATCGATGTTTTTGATGATCTAAATAAGAACAAGTCATGAATATGGATTAAATATCGTGCTATTCATGACTATAATTTAAGAAGAAAGCTTACCAAGTAACTTTTGTTAAAATTGATTGTCAACGTTATTGTCTGTATCCATAACGGAACAGCTAATCATACATGTCGACGAAGAGGAGCCTAAATAAAAAAACATATAACCAATTGTGGGTTGGTGGCATTTTTATCTTTTCTTTCTGTTTTTTAGAAAACATTTTTCAGGACTGTTCGCAAAACTCACCTTTTACGTATTTTCGACTATATTCGAATTGATTATCACAAGTATTACGTTCATAATTCATAAGATGGAATAATACCAAATAAGCAATACGAGCTTTCTTTGATGAATAAGATGATAGGGCATTGGGATATTGTTTCAAGACACTATTTCTTTGTTCTGCAACTTCAGTGTTAATACTTTTAGCTGCTGCATCTGTGTGAATATAGTCTAAGTTTCTTTCTTTTTAGCACATAGGCCGTTTATGATTCGGTTGATGGAATCGATCGATGAAGAAGGAGCATTCAGAAATAAATTTTGGTGATGATGTTTGTGGAATATGTCGATTACGATCGCTTTTCCCATATCGATTCCAAAAGTAGATATATAAGCTACAAGCGTTATCATAAATAATCATTTTTGGTAAGTATTGATGATATTGACTATTGATAACATGTATAATTTTGAATAAATGCCGTAAAGCGATAAAACAAGATTCTGATCGAAAAATTTCGTCAAAGCCGACAGCTATTCCACACGGAGACAATGTGTAAATAATACCTTGTGAGGATAGCTTTTCTAGGTTCACGAAACTAGAAAAAAACTATCTATGCTAATATCGATATACTACCAACATACCGATCTTCTCTAGAAACATTTCATCCCATCAATGGATCATCATAAATCCCTTTATCATCATCAGTTAATAAAGATGTTTCACTATCTTTTAATAAAATGGATTCACGGCATGATTCACATAAGCCGGACTTTGCTTTCGGTGTGTAACCACAGCCAATGTAAATTCCATCAGGAAATTCTTCGGTACATTCCTGTTTATTCTTATTAGTACAAATTGGTCTCGCAACTTTTTGCATGCCATCCAAGACAAAACATCTCATACAGCCAGGATCTATATTCTTTCTTGTTGCTGCACATGGATGTGTTCGATGATGAGTTGCCCAATGATTAACAAAATCATTGTACCATTGATCGTAGTTAATATAGAAAAAGTCATAGATAGAATTATTATCTAATAAACCTGGTATTTCAAAGTCACGAAGATCATTCATAAAAAATGTATATAACGATAACTGATATATAAACCAAATGTTGGAGAAATATTCTCGACTAATTTCAGATGTTATCTCATGTGCCTGAAATAAAAATGCGTAAATAGGTTTCAAAAAAACTTCTCCAATGGAAAAAAAAAGCAAATCAAAAGAAATGAGTTACTTCTGCGTACAAAAGAAAAAGATATATAGAAAAAGCGTATCGATTTCTCCAATACTAAATATCTATACTTACGGCATTTTTATTTGAATTCAGATTGTAATATTTTTTAAGAGATAGATTATACGAATTCTCGAAGTTTTCAAAATCGGAATATTGCCGCAAGAAAAGAGACGTAAAATTTATTAACAATTGAGTAGAATAAGCTTTCTTGCCACCAAAATAAATGTATTCTTGATTGTATAAACAATTTGTTGTCACGAATCTTTTTCCATTGGTAAGCTTTTCGAAACAATTTGGGTAAAATTTTTGATGACATCTGTTGCATTTGGAATAATAAACACCGCCTTTAATAATTTTATCTAAATTATATATATTGATATATTGATTAAAAATCACATCAAGGTCTTCTTCACAGCTAATGCATTTTTTCGTGAATGGTTTTAAACAAACCAAAGTTGCTTTTGTATCAATTACTGAACTTGTCATGTAATGATTGAGTAACTGCTTGATATCAAAAGAATGAAAAAGTTCATTCATTTCACCATTATTTAAACGATTGATGATTTCTTGCACCGTAGTTTCCGTAAGGTTCGTATTAAATTTAACATTGACCATATTTGTAATGTCTCGTGTGCGAGTTATAATGATAGAGTCCAAACGATCATTTAAATCTTTTATTAGATGAAGAATTTTGATTTTGAATGTTCGATGTAATGTCAAGATATAAACTTCATCAGAATTTGTCACTATGATATTTGATGATATTTTATCTTGAAAAATCGAAGGGTATGAATTTCTGACAATATCTAGAAAAAAAAGCATATACAAAAAAGTTTGTTATTTCAAATAATGCGTTGAACAGTTTCAACCTTTGAATGACATTTTATCAAATGATATAGGTTTTATACTCTATGTGACAGTTCATACAGCGAGGGGTCAAAAAAGCATGTACATTTTTGTTTTTACGCATAAACGAATAATAAGGATACTTTGAAATTTTCTCTCATATCGAACTTTGTCGAGCTTTTTTCGCTGATCATTTTGATAAAAAACGTTTTTGATTTTCATGGAGTAATGACGACGTTATAGTCAAAATACGAAACACTGTAACATAAAGTAGGGAAAAAAAGTTTAGCACACTTTTAGTATTTGGCTAATTTTTACGTCATTTCACAACATCTGAAAGATGTTCTATATACCATTCGACGCAGAATTTAATGGGCTACATTTTGGTAACAAGCATTTATACTCATATTGCAGTTAATTAATTAATTAATGGTTAATTAATAATTAATAATAATTAGCAATTAATTAATCAAATTTTGATTTATTTTTAAATTCCAACTCTTTCATATGAAAGAGCATAAAAAACTGAACAAATCTCTACATATGAGAGAAAATTTTCAGAGTATCCTTATTATTCGTTTATGCGTAAAAACAAAAATGTACATGCTTTTTTGACCCCTCACTGTATCATATATTATACTTTTGTACATTAAAGCTAATACCTTACAGTTATTTTATATATTTTGTATATTGTAATTTATATATATCTATATATTATATTCTATATATCTCTATATACTAATTAATAAAGGAAGAGCTGATTATCTTTAAAATGATTCATACAACCTTCCTAAAACGAAATGAATTAACCATTCTTATCAAAATTGATGATGTTTATTGTATTATCGAGAAAACAACGATTTAACCAGTAAATACATCATTTTAACAAAATATTATTATTATTTTACTTTTCTCAGTAATTGGACCTTTATGTATTTTTATGCACCAGCAGCAGATATTGTTACGATAAATGAAAGCTTTCATTATCTTGCACTTTAGAATATATATTAATAAAAAGCGATAGTGTTAGTAATCATATGGAAGAAAACGGTTGCGGTTTCAGCGTTTTTATTTTCACGGTTCTGAAAAACTTGAGAAAGTTGGTTCCGGTTCCAAAAAAAACTTCAAACAGCGGTTCCAGTTCGATTCTCGGTTCCTGTTTTTTGAAACCGCCGATCTCTAGTTACAAATAGGTCACATTACAGAAATGGTTACTAGTTTTATATTCGGAACTCTTCTTTTTTTATATTGAACTATCGTTTCAATGAAGGGAAATTAGAATGAACTGGACTATAAGAAAAAAAGGATTGTTCGACGTGAGAGTTGTTTTAAGCGCGACATCGGCCAGCGATGAATGACATCACAGTGGTAAACTGACGAACAACTAGCCACTGCTTTGAGAGAGTGTGGGGTGTGGGCGTGGAGCATAGGTGTGAGTGTGGATATGAATTTAGACAAGACCCACATTCAGACCCACCCGCACCCATACCCACACAACTACATCCACACCCTATATTGCACACAGGCTCCCAAGCTCATCGGATCTGATGGCAATCATTGGCCGATATCACTATCGATATCATTTTCTTTGTGCTTTTCCTCTTTATTTTGTGTCGTTATTGCTTTATCATGTGTTTATTCTTCTGCAATATTCATTCTAATTCTCATCTCTCCTATTTTCTCATTCCTAAATTAGGATCTGTTCAATGTTCAGCAGATAAATTTCGTAGATAGTAGATACTTTAATAAATACAATTACGGAAGGTGACAAAAACATACCTATGCAGCTTTATTGTTAAAAAAATCATAATTCTATTAATCCTTGATGGTTTTGCATATGTTTACATTTATGTGAAGCTATAAATGTAAAACAGCTGGAGACAAATCAAGCAAAGTTTTTTTCTTTCTTCTAACAAAACGTAGTTAAGCCTTTAGTTTAGACAAAATGACGCGATAATTTATCTGTTGAATCAAGTGGCATGCAGGAAAAAATGGTCTTCGACTTGCAGCATTGCTATGATGTTCATCATATCTGTCAATGTATGTCTTCACTGTAATCTATCACCTTATTTCTTTCTTAGCTTTCTAAAATTCTAAATAAATTATCCCTGGCAGTTCGTTTTGGCTATCACCAACTGATAGTACGAGGTCGAATTAAGTATGCAGTTTTCTCGTTTTTCTCTGACTAGGCACTACAAGCCTGATCACTTCTCAATATAAATCAATGCTGACTGCTACTAGTGAACAGTTTTGTCGCGTGGATGACTGTTCGGATGCAGCCTACTATTATCAAGCATTTCGTTTGAACATCTCTGTTGCTGGATACTATTCTTTCAAATCGATCAGTAGCATCAATACCTTTGGGTATTTATACAACAATAGTTTCGTTTCTCCTGCTCCATCTCAAAATGCAATAGTAAGCAATAATGACGGTGCCGGCAATCAGCAATTCCGTTTATACATTTGGCTTGATACTGCATCAAGCTACTATTTGGTCATAACCACAAATAACTCTATCGTCACAGGACGATTTACCGTGGTTGCAACTGGTTTAGCATTGGTGACATTCTCACCGATGAATACATCAGGTAAGAGCCCAACTTTTTTCAGAGCTCTTCTTTAATTAAACAAAATACTGTTGAGAAGATGAATGTAAGTACAAAGATATGGAGTAATGAATGCACCACCGTAGATAAACTGATCTAGAGCAGTGCCACTCTAAATTTTAACTTTCAGTGATAAACGTGTTAGATTTGCAGTAAAATATTTAAACTTAAAACTTATGGTTGCAGCAATATATTCGAAGTAAAACTCTTTACTGAAAATTTACATACCACATATCCAACTTTATCTTAATGTGAACGAAAACATCGTCCAAAATCTCAACTATAGAAAAGGTGCAACTTGCAGTAGACATTATGGCAAAAATGTTTTTTGCGAAAGAAGGATTGGACTTAGTTTGAAACAAAGATTGTTTAATTTAAAAACAGTTGTGGTGAAAGATCTGTTTCTCTTTATATTAGTTTTTTTTTGAAAAAAGTAAGTTTAAAATAGAAATATTTCTGTGAAAAAAAAACTTTTACTCTCACTTTCAGAAAGTTTAAGTTTGAAGTGCCTTAAATGTTGTTTTAATATCTAGCCACAGGTATTTCGCTCACTTTTACTTTTACTTTTGAAGCTTAAAGCAGTACTCTGACTCTAATTTCAAAATAAAGTTAAAATGTGAACCCACTCATTCTGGTTGAAGCTAACATGTTCATTATTAGCTATGTTTAGGCTTAAATACATGTTCTAGACAGTTCGCTGAAGGAAATAGAATTGGTATTGCCTTTTCTCGTCAGAAAGCTCACTAAAACGTTTATCTTTGTACATACATTTAATGTTTCGAGAAATTGACGGAATTTAACCGATTATCCGAAGACATTTCGACACTACTATCGTCACGTTTGAGTAATTTACATAGTTTTCTAGAGGTTTTCGACTTTTGTGAAGACCTGCCTGTCCATAAGGTGGGTATTTGAGAAACATTCATATACTGTTTGAATATGACACAGTTGTACCTTAATTTTTTACTTGCTTGTTCTGAGAAATTCGACTTCCGTCTATAATAAAAATTAGAATTCGATGTATGCATTTTGCATAGAAGTGAATGAATCTAGATTTAAACTTATGGAACGTTTTATCCTAGACACGGTTCTCCATGAAAAAATTGCTCCTTCTCTTCATAGATCCAACATATCCTTTCTGATCTTCTTATTATTGCATGGAGGCTTGCAAGCTCATAGGACCTGATGACAATCATTGGCCGATATTGATATCGCCTTCCTTCTCCTTCTCCTCTTTATCTTGTTTCGTCATTGTTTTATCATGCCTTTATTCCTCTTTAATATTCATTCCAATGAAGATCTCTCCTATTTTCTCATCCCCAAATTAACATTTGTTGCACATGCAGCTGTTACATCTCGTAGATATCAGATACCTCAATAAACAA